CACAAGTGAGAGCTGGATGCCAGCCAAGGACGCTAGGCGTAGCCACTACTACAATATGTTAAACCCCTCGTGGTTTTCAACCCATTTTGTGTCAGGTCTTCATAACGATATTCGCTTTCAGTATAAAGACAATATGCTTCGTTTCATGATCGCTCTTATGTATGACAACGATCGTCCATACTCTACTTGGTCGCTTTCGCATAGTTATGTAATTTTTTTCGAGGGTGATGAAAAGTTAGGTTCCTGTAAGTAGATAAAATAACGCTATGGAGCTTGATTTGTCATTTTTTACGATACGGTGCAGCCTCCTGCTGTTCTGTATCACAATCTACCAACCAAGCGGCAACAACATCAATCCTTTGCTTCAAGCCGACCTGCTGTTACTGGAGGTTCTTGGAAACTGCAGTCAATTTTGAATATTATCGACGAGCTCAAGTGTGCCGCTGTTGATATCGAGGAAAAAGTATTCATAACAGATACAATTTTCTCTTTCGGCTTTATTTATATTTTCATTCCTGTTATTTTTCTCATGGAAAATTCGAATAAATGGGTACTGGCGAAATCTCTTTAAGGGCTAACCCAACCTCCCTGATGTTTACGCTAGGAGCTATTTGACATTCTGAGGCGAAATTCTCTACAAAAGTGACTGTTACTGTTGGCTAGCTCAGAAAACTAGAAACAAATCTATCGGTCTATATTTGAGGAGTAACATGCAACATTTTATGTATTAGTCAGAAGCTTCTGATCGATTCTCAGGTCTTCTGAATTGGCATTTAATGACCAATAAGGTAGTTTAGATTTTGCACTAGCTGATCAACTCAGTTTGGATACCCGTATCAATCTTTGTGGATTTTGTGGCCATTTCATTTCGGGGCCCATCGTGGTTGGACCATAATACGCAGGCTGCTGTGGGGAAGCTGCAATGAGGTACCACCGTTCACTCCTCTCCACTTGTAAGCATTGCTTATCAGTTGTTACCGTAAATCTCTTTCAGCCTACCGAACAACGATAAGCGCGAAAAAGGCCTCGAAGAAGAGTCAGGCACAGACCGAGGCTCATATCAATCCCCAGCAGGCCTCCGAGGTCATAAACCTTGACAATTCAGACGAAACCGAGAAGAGTGGACCTACTAGGGAGGGCACTTCCGAAACTGTCGATCAGACGGAGAACCCCTGAGTGTCCTTTCTGTGACTGAGCAATTGCATTTGTTTCGTCCCACCCGGTCCGTTCTTCAGTGACTGCCTAGATGTTTATTTACACTTTTGAACATTTTATACACACAGAAACTCCTATTTTCATCAATAAAGCATTTGTAAATCACTGACTGTTAATATGCGCTCTTAAAAGATATCCTAATGAACTCGTTTTAGAGCAGTAGATCATAATCCATCACAAGACCTTCGTCATTTGTGGCTTCTGTCGACAGTCCTGATGCGAGCCGTTGGTAGATCAGACGTACGTATGGTATTTGTAGGCTTACGTCCCGCTGTACTGAAATTTGCTGTGCCTGAAGTGTTGGCCCGAAAGGTTGCCAGTTGGCGGGATAACACAGTCCTTCTTAAGAGTACAGTGACTTCTTGACGTAGCCTTTATTAGTTGTTATTTAAGCGAGCTCGGAAGTCTTGTTTCTGAGCTGCAAGCATCTGAAGCCCACGACTCCGAGACGTAGATTCAACAAAGTCAGATGCCGTGTATACGCTTCTTGTCATTAGGATATGGATGTTGGGGAGCCAGGTTAGTGTCTCGCACGTTTGCCTCGCTTTAAACGGAAATTCGCCGCCGCGCCATCCCCGCAAAAGCAGTGTGCCTTATTACTGGCAAGAAATGGACCTACTCGTCACGAATTTAGTAAAGGGACGCAATTCATCGTTGGGAGCTACGAGATGCTGCCGCGTAACTTAGTGCCGTTGGTCAGTCGAGAAATAGTTCAGCAATAGTAGATGCAGTCGCTAAAACAAAGTGTATTTGCCTGACTTTTCGGATTCTGTCGAAAAAATCTTCATCAGAGACAACCAGAGAATAGGGTGATACATACACAGATTACGCAGTATTTATAGTTCGTAGCGGCCATCCGCATGCGCACTATTGAGAAAGAAGTAGACGATGCAATCACTGGAACAAGAAGTGTACTCGCCTGACTTTTCGGATTCTGTCGAGAACCCTTAAGCATAGGTAACCGTATTGAGACATTGTCTGAGCAGAAGAATCGGTCACGTGGTAGGGGCCGAGCCCAACAACAATTCCGACGACAGCGAACATAATTTTCGCGTAGTAATCAAGCCCGCATCCAAACACGGACAACGAAATCATGGCCATTAATGCCTCGAAAGCGAACTGCCAAGCCATCACCGCACCAATTACGACCGCCAGGAGCTGATAATTATAGTGCGCAAGCGGGTGGCTGCTACAAACTATAAATACGGCGCAATTCTGTGCATGTATCATACTATTCTACGGTTACCTATGATTAAGGGTTCTCGACAAAATCCGAAACGTCAGGCGAATACACTTCCTGTTCCACCGATCGCATCTTCTACTTCTGAAGCGAATTAACGGTTACCTAGCCACGTGAGCCGCGTTCATGCCGGTCAATATCTTCTGTACGCAGGGAGGCGTGTACGCCCCTACCGGCGATTTCGACAAGGTCCACCGTGTTCTCCACAACAGGGACGGGGGTTTGCGCTAGATTGTACTGAGAATGGACTTGCACGGCATCTATCTCACTCTCTGGTGCACTCCCCCACCCGGGCCTAGTGTCAAGATAAAATCAAGAAAACCGGAGGTGGGAGGGGCCGTAGTTTCACGCACTGTGGGCCCGTACGGCCAGAAAACCAGAGCACAGATTGTAGTGGTTCGGATTCCCGCCGAATGGGTCACATTATGAAGGAGTCATTGCAGCCTGATCCTCAGTCCATCAGTCAGCCACACTGGGCTGATCGCTCAGTGCGAGTTATCCTATAAGTTGGCGACTTTCCAAGCCACGGCTTTTAGCGCACGCTGATACCATCGAGCGCGTCAGATTGTTTATAGGAAGGAAGATGCACTGAGTCGTCGAACTGGGTGACTGGGTGCCGAACCATCCACGTAGCTTTTCGTTTGTTAAGGATTATATATATTACTCCCTAAACAGGACATAGAACCAGAACCCACGGCATCGGACGTAGGCTTTCTGCTAAATTCCAGGGGAATTAGAGTTAGTTTTAAAATAAAGGGTTGGGCCATATTTATGGTTAGGTTTAAGGTCAGGCTCAGGCTCAGTAGGAAGTATAGCCTTAAAGTTTGTGTTAGGGGCACGAGAACGATTAGATCTAAGCCTCGGCTTTATTAGGGCTGGTGTTTCCTTATCAAGGATTCGAAATGGACAGTAAAGTCGGTGGAAGAGTTTTTGACACGTATCCAACATCTTGAAGTGGAG